TCAAAGTCTTTTCATTGCCATCTCTGTAACAGGGTGAGACAGGGAGACAGAGAGAGACAAATCAGTGAAGCAGAGAGAAAAAGAGACAGAGAGATATAGAAATAGAGAATAAGAGAGAGATACGGAGAGAGAGACAGAAAAAGGGAGAATGTGTAACCAGAGGGAGTGAAACGCAGAGAGAGAGAGAGAGAGAGAGAGAGAGAGAGACTGAGAAATAGGTAAAGAGATAGACGTAGTGTGAAATATACAGAGACCTAGAAATAGAGAAAGAATATATATATATATATATATATATATATATATATAGAGAGAGAGAGAGAGAGAGAGAAACACGCACGCACACACAGAAGCCCACACAGATATATATATATATATATATATATATATATATAAGATATATATATAGAATAAATGCGGGAGCATAGAAAGAGAAACTTATAAATAGAGAAAGACTGTTTATATAGAGAAACACTGTTTATATATATATATATATATATATATATATATATATATATATGTGTGGAAAGAGAGAGAGAAAGAGAGACAAAGTCAGACAGTGAGAAAGAGAGGGAAAAGGGCTATAGAGAATAACAGTGAGCCATCGAAAGAGAGGTAGAGATAGCAAGATATAGAGAAGTATAAGAGAGATATACTGACAGAGAGGAGGAAACAGACACAATATGTGACAGGGTGAGTGTGAAACAGAGAAACAGCAGGGAGATGTAGAAATTGAGAAGAGAGATATACAGAGAGAGATATATATATATATATATATATATATATATATATATATATATATATATATATATATATATCAAGAGAGAGACATACCTATATATATATATTAAGAGTGAGAGGTAGAAAGAGAGACAGAGAAACCTAAAAATAGAGGAAAGGAGATACAGAGAGAAAGAAACAGGCAGAATGTGTGACTAAAAGAGAGAGACAGAGATAGAGAGACATAAGGAAAGAAATATGTATATATAATTAGAAATATATATAGACATATATATATATATATATATATATATATAGGAGGAGGAGGAGGCACGGTGGAGTAATGGATATTGGCTTGGATTGAGGAACCGCAGAGCCGAGTTCGAATCTAGGTTGAACCCATTACATTCACTTATGTGCTAATACCCTTGGGAAAAGTGTGAATCCTCTTCTTCTCCCTTCAGCTATGGGTTAAATAGCAGGACGGACTGGGTTCTATAGCCTCGGATGGCAACTGGTCTAGGAGAAGGACAACTCTGAATTTAAAACCTGCTGCACCAGGTCTCTGTATTCGTCCCTTCAAAAAGTGTGGATGGTCCTGCACGAAGCTTTCACCACTATAATCGAATCTCATGTGCCGGTATCGGGCTGTCAGTTTCCTGGAAACTGATCTGTTTGACCCTCATACGTCGAACCCGACGGGAGAATCGATATATATATATATTTAAAGTAAAACAGACCACTTTAAGATTCCATTATAATAATTTATTTCACGAGAGCCCTTTAAAGGGCTCCGTATCATCAGATAGCACTTCCAAAAATGAAATGAAAATTGATAGGTAGTGTAAGTTTTTGTAATTTAACAGAAAGTGTAATAGGAGTAGTTAGAGAGACATGGTAGAGTTTAGGGAGGGTTAATTTAATATCTCTCTCAATCCTACTTAGTATATATATATATATATTTACTATATATATATATATATATATATATATATATATAACAGTGATACATTGAAAAGAGATAGAGAGACCTTGACATAAATTAAGATAGATATACGCTGAGAGAGATAGAAAGAAAGAGACGCCGAGATAATCCTGTATGATGTTATTTCGATAGGTATAACAATATGTCCGTAACGTAATGGTGAAAATGGAAGAGAGTGATATATATATATATATATATATATATATATATATATATATATATGCAGAAAGGGAGAAAGAGAGATGCGGAAAGAGCAAAAAGATTGAAAAAATGACACAAGAGTGAAAAATGTAGCAGAAAGATAAAAAAAAAATTATGGAGAAGTAGAGACAGAAAAAGACAGAGAGATAGAGAGAGAGAGAGAGAGAGAGAGAGAGATAGAGACAGAGAGAGAGAGATAGACAGAGAGAGAGAGAGAGATACAAACTGATAAATGGTGACCGAGAGACATGCACAGAAATAGAGAGACTGAGAACGTTGTGGGGGAGGCACGGGCAGTAACAAAGAGAAAGAGAGCGAGAGAGAAAGACGAAGAGAGTGGGAGAGATAGAGAGTGTGAGTTAGAAATAGAGACGAAAATAAAGAGAGAAATGTAACAGAGATAGAGAGACATCAAGAAAGAAAGGACAAAAGATGAAATTGAAAACAGAGGGAGAGACACGCACAGATAGATAGACAGATAGATAGAGAGAGAGAGAGAGAGAGAGAGGGGGGGGTCAAAGAAAAAGAGCGATTATAGTTCTATTCACCCGATTCACCACCATTTCTCACGCATCGAATTCCGTTTTCTTTCGTTCT